TGATTTAATAACGCCATGGCCATAGATCAAATATGGCCATATCTATATTTCATTAGTAATGTTATAACATCCCTATACCCTTGTATTTATACATACTGACAGCTACAGGGACCTATCAGTAGCATTGGAATGCATGCATGTATGGTTGGATTGGCTCATTGGCAGGTTTTCTCTTTCAACAATCAGCGATTATCAGGATTGACGCTGCTGGATTTACAGTTCTGGATTTTTTTTTTTTGGGGGGGGGGGGGTTGTGTGCCTTTATTTATAACCGACTTTTTTGTGAACAACAGCCTGGGTGGATGTCCTCTCCAGTGTGCCTTCACATGCCTTCAGCCACTTCTGTTGTCAACCTCACAGCACGGCAGAGGGTGGAAGGTGCGGCAAGTCTGCATGGAGGGTGGGAGCTTCTCAACCTTTCAAATTAACAAGCAGGTGATAGGCTGCTAGAATGTGAGGTAGTCCTAGTAGCCACTCATTTGCTTGTTACCATGCTTGTTGCCCTCTCTGCAGACCTGCTGTGCCTCCCACCCCCCTTGTCCTACTGTGTTAAGGTGGGACTCTGAAGTGGGGGGGAGCTGTAATTGCAAGGGGGATTGTGGTTTAACAGGGGACTGTGATTGCAAGGGGGAACGTGATGTAAGGGAGAGCTGTGACTGCAAGGGGGGCTGTGTTGTGAGGATGAGGGTTGTGATGTGAGAATGGGGGTTGTAATCTAAGAGGGGCTGTGATGTGAGGAGGGGGGCTGTGATTGCAAGGGAGAATGTAATAAAGGGGGGCTTTGATGAAAAGAAGGAGAGTGAGGACACTGATGTAAAGCAGGACTGTGATGTAAAGGGGGTGGGTCTGCGATGTGAAGCATAGAACAGACACAAGATTCAGACCTTATTTTAGTTGAATTGCATCATTTGCTTTATGGATGGGACTATTTTTATTAATTGTAAAAAAGAAATGTCTGATTTTAATTTTTAGTGCTGCACTTCTGATCTCTACGCTTTATATTGTACTCTGAAATATTGTGTCAGCTGCTGTGTTTTACTTTTTAAGATGTATAACCAATTATGGGGGATTTTTTTTTCAACAAAACACAATTATGTTTTGTTTGTTATTTATTTTACAGACCAGACCATGGATTTTTCTAATTCAGCACCCTTGTCCTAAAGGGAGCGTCTAGAATCTGATAATGCCTCCTGCACCCCCACAACCAGCTAGCCAGAGTTGTGGGGAAGAGGCCCTTGTTAAGGGCATATGGCCTGATATTGTTCAGGAGGGAAGGGGAAACATGGCTCAGTTACAAAGCACTGGTGTGAATGGACCCTAAAGATAATTTAGTTACATAGTTAGTCTGGCTGAAAAAAGACAAAAGTCCATCCAGTTCAACCAAAAAAAAAAAAAGTTATAATCCTATACCCACAATTGATCCAGAGGAAGGCGAAAAACCCAGCAAAGCGTGACCCAATTTGCTCCTGCAGGGTTAAAAATATTCCTTCCTGATTCCCCGAGAGGCAATTGGATATTCCCTGGATCAACTTTACCTATAAATGTTAGTATCCAGTTATATTCTGTGTATCTAAGAAAGAATCCAGACCTTTTTAAAAGCAATCCACTGAGCTGGCCAGGACCAAGTCTTGAGGGAGTCTATCCCACATTTCTTATTGGTTACCAAGCTGCATTATTCAACAAACTGATCTTTGGTATACCCAGTAAACAAAGGAAATAAAAAGCATCTATAAAAGTTCCCATAGAAAAGTTTTTCTTTAATTTAAGAACTCAACCAAAAGTAAGGAAAAAATATTATATATACTGTACATGATATACATGTTTTCACCAGATGCATACATACGTCTTACAATTATATCCAGATCAAAGATTTAATGAAAAATTTGGCATGTAAGAGCCCTGCAACACTCCTCTCCACAATGGATCCCCCTTGTCCGTGACTTTATTATTAAATTACTTGATCTTTGCTTCACAATATATATGTTGGTAAACAGGATACAGCCGCATTGAAACTTTTGTTAAGCAGTATATATTCTGAAAATATTTATTATTACAAGTCGCTATGTGTATTGTTGAAGATGTAACTTTTCTATATGTCAAAGCAATTAAGATAAATTGAAACAGAAAAAAGATGAACAATTTATAATTAAGAACATTACTGTCCCTCTTTAACATTGTTACTTGGATACAGTATATTGTCAGTCCTTTTTGCATGACAAGTGTCGGATGTAGTATTCCTTTTTAAATTTTTGGCAATACAATTTCTTAACAAAAAAAAGAACATTACTGTCCCACACTTCATATCTCTAGATGGATTCTAATACCATAATAGAAAACCATCATTTAAAATTGTAAAACCAAAATACCATAAACATTACACTGTATACCAAAAAAGCATGCTTGATGTTTTTGTTTTTGAAAGAGTGGTGTCAATGTGATATAAAAGTATGACAAACAGTAAACAAAATCAAACCAGTTTTAGATATATCAACAAATTTTACAAAATATAAATCACTTATTAATTAATGGGGCCGTATCTGAACGGAATAAACAATCGGTAGTGATGTTGTGTGCGGTACATTAAATCTCTAAAATATGAACAGCTAGACTCCAGTAGATAAAACATTTAATTCAGTTATGTGTTCATTAATCATTGAAGGAGGATATTATAAGTGCCTGAATCTATTCTATTACTGCCTCTAGTAAGCTCCGGTAAAGTAGAACTCAGACTGGAAGAGGGAGGGTCAGCACTCTGAGCTAATCAACTTCTTCCACATGTGCATGTAGTGGAAATAAACATGTTGACAGAATGAGAAAATAGAGCACTGATCTGCTCAGTCTTTTGATAATCTTTCATTGTCCAATCATAAACTAAGGTCAGGGGGTCCCCAAGCTGTAATGCCTTTTGCTGTATAATAAAGGGAGGTTGCCAGCATGGTTAAGCTGTCTGGCAGAGCTGTGTAAATCTCAGGACTGCCAGGATAAATTTACAGATCATTTAACGGGTGATAATTCCAGTATATGGATTTCATCTGTGGCTGTGCTTAAATTTGTGATATCCAGCTTTATGAGAACTGCTCATTACATCTCAAGCACATTTTATCCAAGTGCTTTGTTACGAAATTTGGAAGAACAAAATAAATAAAAGAAATAGCAGATAATGATAAACTACTGTGAATGACACCTGTATAATGTGATAATAATGAAAGGGAACGCCTTTTTTTTATCAGCTAGCAATATTATTGCCAGAACTGAACAAAAGCAATTTAGCAAAGAAAAAAAATATTTTATTAACCGAAGAAATTAATAAAAGTTATAGAATGAGTATATTATTAGAAAACCTTAATAAAAGTAATACAAATATTGTCCATGTGTCACTTTACCAGATTAATCTTTTATTAATAGCTGTAAGTTATTAAAGCTGCAAAGACAAAACATTTTTGTGTCAAAAACCTAATTTCTATTGAAAATGAACCTGTATCCTACAGCAACCATTCATAATCAGTGTTCAATACAGTGCCACCCTAATTGCTTACAGTTGGTTTTCAACTAGTTGTACGGTACTGATCTGTGCAGAATATTAATGTATACTGTAAATAGTATGGAGGCAGCACTAAATCTCATGATTTAAACTATGAGTAGCAGGATATTAATCTAAATGTCATGTGCAAGGAGCAGGATTTTTTATCAGCTGGAACTTGGTGGAACTTTGCTCCACCACCTCTGACTCAGGTCCTCTGCTCCCTGCTCTCCACTATCACTTGTAAACACAAAAGTCTGGCTTCTGTGTTTACAAACAACAGCTTATTCCAAATGGCTTCCATAGATCTGATCTCCTGAGCGGCTCCCATAGATCTGATCTCCTGAGTGGCTCCAATAGATCTGATCTCCTGAGTGGCTTCCACTGAGTGAAGGATGGAGACAAGGGAGATGAAGGTGCCTGGGATGACATGCAGATGCCCCCCCCACTGAATGATCTCCCTGCAAGTGAGAGAGGCGGAGCCATTTACAGTGTGCAGGGAGGTACTACAGCTGGCTGGGTGCTTCAGCGTAATACAGCAATAAGAGTAAGACATGTGGAAGGTGGTGCTTTAAAGGGAGGGGAAGAAGATGAGGGCAGTGGAGGGGGGGGGGGTTTGCATGCAGAGGTCAGACCTGAAAAGGGGTAATGGTAAGGTGTGGATGAGGATACAGAGGTGAGCAGCTGTAGAAGAGACTGGATTCTACATTCTGTGTGTAGCACACACCCCTGAACTGTGCACTCTGTATACAGCACACTCCTGAACGCTGCACTCTGTATGCAGCACACTCCTGAATGCTGCACTCTGTATGCTGCACACTTCTGAACGCTGCACTCTGTATGTAGCACACTCCTGAATGCTGCACTCTGTATGCAGCACACTCCTGAATGCTGCACTCTGTATGCTGCACACTCCTGAATGCTGCACTCTGTATGTAGCACACTCCTGAATGCTGCACTCTGTATGCAGCACACTCCTGAATGCTGCACTCTGTATGCTGCACACTCCTGAATGCTGCACTCTGTATGCAGCACACTCCTGAATGCTGCACTCTGTATGCTGCACACTTCTGAACGCTGCACTCTGTATGCTGCACACTTCTGAATGCTGCACTCTGTATGCAGCACACTCCTGAATGCTGCACTCTGAATGCTGCACACTTCTGAACGCTGCACTCTGTATGCTGCACACTTCTGAATGCTGCATTCTGTATGCAGCACACTCCTCTGTATATCATGCACTCCTGATATTTAGTGCCCTTCTAAAGTGTTACTAAACCCAGGACCCTGCAATCACTATGTCTGGTCTCCCACAGTCCACAAAACATAGAAATGCAATTATTTTAGTAAATATAAACTGCTACATACCATTTCTTATTAGCAGTTAGAGCAGTCTTGTGACTTATATCAGTGTCCAACAGAGCACTGGTTAAAGCTTGTAGAAAAAGTTTTCTTTCTGCTCCTAGGAGGATGCAAAAAACACTGACCTCTGTATGGACAGTGCTGATTGACCTTGTGCTGGTCACATGCACTCTCCCAAGGAAAAAAAAAAAAACCTCACTATAAATACACACTGAACTGAGCATGTGCAGAATGGCTAAGGTTCAGTTATGTCTTATCTGAAGATGAGAGTGGACATTTGAACAAGAGGAGGAGCAGGGAAATCAGCATCAAATGGCATTTTTACACAATGTAGAGGATTAACCCCTTATTATTATTATTATTATTATTTATTATACAGTATTTATAAATCGCCAATAGTTCGCTCAGCGCTGTACATTACAAAGGGGGACAGAACATGTGACAGAACAATACCAATACAATGCAAAACATGAGGGGATTGAGGGCCCTGCTCTTTCGAGCTTACAATCTAGGAGGTGAACACTGGAAGAAGGGAAGGATCAGAGAAGTCAGGATCAAACAGCCTTTTTACGCAATGCAGAGGGATTAACCCCTTATGTTCCACAGTGAGTATAACAAGCATGCTTTACTGCATATACAGTCTGATTTTACTGTTGTGGGTTAAGTAACACTTTAAGACCCTCCCACTGTTAGTGACATTTGACCATACCCACTATTTGATGCGGGCTGGGGTCGTGGTTGAGTTCCTGCACCTATTTTCTGTGTAAAAAGCCCTGGCAAAGAAAAAGAGCTAACTACAATGATTATTACTACATGCAGAAATCTAAAGATTCTCTAAATTTTGATGCGTTTGATATATAAGTATATGTCTGTTTTCTGATTTTTTTTCCCCCTCAAACTTACATAGAAGAATCTGCTTGTTTGGTTGTTTGTATTGGACTTCATGTATTCGGGTTACTTTGAGTGTTTGAGTAGACACAGTCAAACAAATGCTGTTAGAAACCATTTACATAAGAAGGCCTCTTAAACATTGATAACATTGTTGTATGTTGGGCTCTTTTATTGTTCTAAATTAATAATGTAACTGAAATCAACAAGTTTGGTAACCATGATCAAACAATTTACAAATTCAAACAAAAGTGGGTTGCTACTACCTGTCAAATGTATACCCCCGCAGCTATCACCTTTTGTATCACCTCTCCCTTCCTTTAGATTGTAAGCTCCACGAGCAGGGCCCTCATATTCCTTCTGTACTGAAATGTATTGTAATTGTATATAAAAATACTGTATAATAATATTTATAATAATAATAATTAGGTTTAAAGCATAAGCTCACTGTGCTCAACTAGCAGTCTCCATCTGCTTATAAGTACAAGTCCAATTCCAAAAATGTTGGCAACAGGTAAATACAAAAATCTTCTTTATTGCATGAAGGTGTAAAAATATTCCATGGCAAACGTATGTTAACGCGTTTCAGTCTAAAAACATTCCTTAGTTCAATAGCTTGACCTTTTTCACATATATGACCTATGGTATGTATGATACAACAGTGCCATCTTGAGGATGAATTGGGAATTGTTCTCCTATTGAGGAGACGTGTTGAAAGGGGGGCCACATCCATGTGGGGACGGTGGAACTCTCTAAATAAAAAGGCCAGCAACTTGGACTTTATAATGACGTAACACCAAGGAAGATCTGTGCCAGAACAAACTTCACCTGATGACGCTTTTCGCCGATCTCCTGCAACCGCTTGTAGAGTAAACCTGTGGTCCTGGTTGCCTACGGAGATTGTGAAGCTGCTTTAACCTGAGCTAAGTAACTTTTAGCATCTTCCTATTTGTATAAATTCATGCTCATTTGCTAGGAAGGAGTTGTGTTTGTGCATGGTCATTGTAGGTACATTTAGGAGTCTATTGTTTTCCTGTAATAGTTTGTATTCATACAGCATCTTTGTTTAGTAAAGGCACGTTAATACACTACAGAGTTTTAATTGGTTCCTTGACTTATACCGCAAGTATTAACTAATTACCTGTTATTACGCCCCATTTGTTTTGTGCTCAGTGGCAAACATGGACTCCCTTTATAATAAAATGGTTCTAAAAGCAAGACTTTTTTACCTTAATGTATTCCCTGCATTAAGGTACAAAATGTCTCAGTAATTGTATCGCCCCCTGCTCCCCCTGCATCTCGATCCAGCACTGTGCCCATCTGCAGTCAGTGCTGCTCTCCCTCTGTTTTCACACAGGCACAAATGCATTGGCTCCTGCTGCCATCAATGAAATCCTGTGAGGAGGGAGCGGGGGCAGGGCAGAGCAGCACTGTGTGTGTCTATAGACACACTCTGACCAAGTTTAGGAGCAAGCCCGCAGGTGTACCCCGATAGGAAGCGGTTTTCTATGATGATACTCAGAAGTGGAGGAGCCTACAGTGCCAACAGAGAATCCCAAAACAGGAGGATCGGGGCCACTCTGTGCAATACCACTGCACAGAGCAGGTAACTATAACAGTAGTAAAGAAAAAAAGAAGACTTTACAATCACTTTAATAATTGATACCAGTCACTAATCAAATAACTTTGTCCAGCCCGTATATTAGGTAATTATGAGGGTGAAAGTAAATTTTCAGTAGACCTTGGCTAGAAAGCTGATAAAATAATTACTATAGCAATTTTGCAAATTAATTTTATAAAAAACAACCTGTTTTTCAGACTACCGATATTAGAGTCTAATCTAAAATTGTCAGATTTCACTTCTGTGCAAAATGGCAAATTGATAAATTATCGTATTGGATACTTATTCTCCACTGGGGAACACAATGGGATGATTTACTAAAGTAGTAGACAATGTTCTGTGAATTTCACTATTGAAGGGAATGTTTGCTTAGTTTAGTGAATGTGATGTAAATAAGCTTTCCTGACGGCTCCATGTCAGCACAGCTGGGGTGAGGGCTCTGAAAAGGAGGTACAACCTCGAAACGTGTCAGCCACCAGCTATCCAGAGGTTCGCAGTCCCCCACCAGACCACCTTCAGGGGTGTTGGACCACATTTCATCCTTTGTGCCATACTTTCCATTTGATCTGATTTTATTTCTCTTGTGAGTATTTTACTATTTATAAATAAATCTCACTGTTAAAGGTAATGCACTAGGCCCGTGCGCCCTCTTTTTGTTTCTTATATACAGTTCTCTTTGGATTTCCCTGGTCCGTTGAGGGCAGCAAGGCTTGCATTCCTTTCTTACTCATGTGGGGATATTGACATTGTGGAGTCCACTGTCCAGCGCAGGAGCACATGCATTCGGTTGCTTTATTCTTCTTTCCCGCCCACCCCCTGCTTGATCAGGATGTAAATTTTTAACCCACCTCAGCCTAGGCGTTCCTTTTTCTTCCTCCTGCAATTAGGACATGTGGCGTCTCCCCTCCTAGCTGGTCTAATGGCTGGCTGTCCGTCCAGAATCGCTCTCAAGGTTGGATGCGGTCCCTGTACTTCTCTGCTAACAGCAGATTGACCAGGGAGCCCCGCTGCTGGTCCTCTGGGCAGCATAAGGCTGTGGTAAAGTACTGCCAGATTTTGGGGTGTTGCACTGGTGGTCAGGATTCCTGTGGTGGCTGCTGGTAGGGGTAATCTCCTTCCCTTGCGGCTGCTGGTAGAGGTATCTCTTTCCTTGGGTGGCTGCTGGGTAGCGGCGGCTGCTGGTAGGGGTAACCTCCATCCTGCTGGGGGTGATGGCTGCTCATCTGCTGTGCTGCTGTAAAGAGCAGCACTGGTCTCCCTGCTTCTTACCGATGCCGCTTGGTCAATGTGTGCAGGCCAGCGTGGAGCACACGCTGCCACCCGCTCTGAGTATGCCTAGACCGCTCAGCCATTCAGGAGAGGGGAGGCGGGGCCGCAGCAGTGATAACATGCCTACCCCCTCTAAAGACCAGCGTTCTCAGAGAAGGAAGGGGAGATGTCGCCAGATGTGCATATTCTTTTTGGTGTTTTTTTAAGTCAATGACTAATTTTTGTTTTTTTTCGTCTGTGCTGCCCCAGCTCCTCAGGTCTTGGTCATTCCCGATGGTCAGAAGCAAGAAACTCAGAAAGGAGTAAGAGACGGTCATCGGCAAGAGAGGACCGACATTCCCGGGGAAGGACAGAGACCTCGCATTCACGTTCAGTCTCCCGGGGTCAGTGCTCCCCATCACGATACGGCAGGTATTCGCATTATGACTAACCCAGAGCAGGAGGATGCTGGGCATGCCCTAGATGGCTTGTGAGACTTGCTTCAAAGAAGCAACCAAACACCAAGAGCTCGATAAGGCAGAGATGGTATCACTAATGAAGCAGGCATTTGAGGAGACGATAAAAGCGTTTGCATCACAGTCGCAGCCATCAGCCGCCCCAGTGCCGTCCACCTTGTGCTCCTTGTCTCTGTAGATGCCACCAGCTAGTCAAGCGATTTCAGAGGTCCAGGAACTTTCAGCCTCAGAAGCTGTTTCTTCGGAAGAGGATGAGGGCCATTATGATGGTTTTTATTGTGCCTTGGTCAAGCCTTTCGTGAAAGAGATTAGGCAGGCTCTGCTTTGAGAAGACACCAGGGAAGAACCGCAGAAGAAGCAGAGGAAGTTTTTTACAAACATGAAAAAGGAGGAGGCAAATTTCCAATTCATGGAAGAAATTTAGGACATAATTAGGGATTAGTGGAACCAAGCAGATAAGAGAATCTCTTTTAAGAATCAGTTCACAAAGCTATTCCCCTTCAAGGTGGAGAGTATTAAGATTTTGGACGCAGCAGTTATGCGCCTCACTAGACACGTAATCCCTTCCGCTAGATGATGCAGTGACATTCAGGGACGTGTTGGATAGAAGAAGAGTGGATGTGAATCTTAAAAAGATGTACACACTTGCTGGTGAGGCATGTAGACCTTCTATGGCTTTGGCAGCTATTTCGAAGGCCATAGAGTCCTAGGTTCAGAAGTAAGAAGTGGCAGTGGGAAGTGACCTGAGCAAAGCCAAGGTCTTGGCCTCCTTTGCCAATTTGAAGCTAACAGCTTTTTTTATGGCGGAGGCATCCATTGGCCTAATTAAGATGTTGGCCAGGATCATGCTTAATGCAGTGACAACCAGAAGAGCCCTATGGCTGAGGCTCTGGGTGGCGGACCCAGCCTCCAAACAAGGATGGTGTAAGATACTCTTTGAGGGGCACTGCCATCGCAAAAGCCACAGGGGGGAAGTCAGGATTTATTCCCCAGGATCAGAGGCTCCTGCGCAGAAGAGGTGCAGCTTACAAAAATTTGCCAAAGACAAGAGGTAGAGACGCTAAATCTCACAGGCCAGGAAGAGAATTTCATTGTCAATGGTCCAAAAGGCTCAAACGCAAGTCAAAGAGGCCAACTTTGTCTCTGGGACAGGGGTCCCAGAAGTCTTTTTGACTATCTGGCAGCTCAAACTTGTCGTGTAGGAGCCAGATTATTCAAATTCCGTCAGGTGTGGGCACAATAGGTAAAGGAGCATTGGGTAATTTCCACCATCCGGTTCAGCCATGCTTGGAAGTTCCTGAGGCATCCCCACAGAATTGTTGTCCCAACAAAGTTACCTTTGGCAAGAGAAAAGCAGGATGTTTTATGGAAATACATAGAAAACCTCCTGAACCAGGAAGTGATAGTTGCAGTACCCCAGCAAAAACATTTTTCTGGAAT